CGGAACCCCCGTGCGCCGGCCGTGCCCTGCCGACGGGGCCAGGCTGCCCGCCCCGGCAAACGGCCCCCGCTGCCGGCACCGAGCGCTGCGCCGGTCCCGGCTCCGCGGCGTTCCGCAGGGTCGCGGGAAAGGGGGCATGGCTGGTGTGCGGGTGAGGAGGGAGCCCCAGGGCCTCCTGCCTGAACCCAGCGGAAAACCCAGCGGGTCCGGAGAGGTTTTGCCTTCCCTTGTCCTTGGGCGCAGTGCGGCCAAACTGAAGAGCAGGTGGTTTCTGTGTGTGTGTGTAGAAAACGCGTTACCTGTGTTTTAGGGTACAGTTCAGCCAACAGCTGGACAGCTGGTCTGGAATTTAAAGAGGACAAGATCATATTTCTCTAAATCTTGTTGTTACCGCCTGTATCACCTGATGTATAGACAGAGATTGCTGTAAGAGAAAAAAGAATGAATCATTTTAAATTCCTCCATGCTATTTCTAGGATTACATCCAGTGACTTTGTGACTGTATTTAAAGTGAAAGAGCCGCGACCCTGTTGGGATGTACTGGCGCGTCGTTCCCTGCTGCTGGGTCACCTTCCAGTGGCAGGGAGGAGGCCGAGCTCACACCCTGAGCTCAGCCCAGCGCCGTGCCCAGCATGGCTCCCACACGTACCCATGTTCAAGAGCTGAAGGGAGCTCTTGGGGCCTGTGGGTGAGGCACGGCAGGTGGCCCTCCTCACTGCGGTATTGCTTGGTGATGGGGAAAGAGGGATCACGGTATCATTCGCTAGAAAGTGTAAAAACAAGGTAATTTAATGGATTTTAAATGGTAGAATATGAGTGAACAGGGAAAACCTCCACTGATTTGTCTCCTATGGTTGCTGCATCATTTTTATCACAAGCTTTTGCTGCTACTAGGAAGTATTTCAGGGTGTTAGCAACTGGGGGGGCTTACAAGGCTGTAGGAGGATTAAATCAGGTTTCCATGCAAGCCTGGATTTCAACATGCAAAACAGTGAGAGTACAAATGAATGCTGCATGTTTTTGAATAACATGAACTTCAAGTCTTTGTGCATACAGACCATGTAAAACAGGTTCCTTGAAAGTGGAATTATCAAGTCTGGTTTCCTCCTTGCTTTTGTCTTTAGTTTCCTCAATTCCCTCACTTCACATAACCACAGATCTCCACTGACATCCCATGTGTGATACTCCCAACAGGCAGGAGAAAACATGTATAATGTTAATCTGGAGTTATGGAGGTGCTTCTTGGCCAGGTAGTACATCCCTGGCTACTGCTCTCGGTGCAGGGATCAGCGAGGGCAGGTTTTCTCTCTGTACCAGTTGGGAACACATTTGAGAAGAAGGTGACTTGGAGGAAGTCAGTGTGGGTTGACCAAGGGCCAACCATGCCTGGCCGACCCAATCGTCTTCAGTGATAAACTAGTTCTGCAGATAAGAGGAGAGCAGGGAACGTCATTTACCTTGAATTTAGTGAAGATGTCACTGTCTCACACAGCGCTCTTGTATCCAAGTTAGGCTGTTATAGTCTGAATGGGGAGCAACCCGATGGGTAAAAAAACATCAGGATGCTTGGTTGAGCTTAGAAGGGTTGTCTCTACCTGGCAGCTGGTGACAAGGGGAGCACTGCAGGGACCTAGATGAGGCCTGGGATGAGGCAATGGAGAGCTCCATCAGTGGGTTTGCAGATAACGCCAAACAGGGGGACTAGTTGGTGTGCATGAGGGCAGGGCTGCCATCCTGAGGGACCTGGGCAGCGTGGAGGAATGGGCCATGAAATTCAACAAAAAGTCCTGCACTTGGGTGCCAGGGAAGAGCGAGGTGAGGCTGCTCCTTGGGGAATGGGGTTGAGGAGCACAGCACCATGGCTGGCAGCAGGGCTTCACCACATGGCAGACAGCATCTGGGGCACCCAAGAGGCCACATCACCCATCAGGCTTGTGGGGACAGGGCAGGGCTGAGGTCAGGCCGGGATGTCAATCTGCAGATCAGGATCAGGCCCTGTGAGGGGAACCGGGGTCAGGCACAGCTCTGGGGTGGCTGCAGGGCCCTGGGGAGGTCAGCCTGCAGGTGGGTCTGGGCTCAGCAGGGCCCATGGCCAGCCAGACAGGGCTGTGGGGAGATGGAGACCAATGTCCTACAGCATTGCTGGGGCAGGGACTGATGGCTCCAAGCTGGGCTGAAATGGTGTCCTGGGCCGTGGGCAGGGTGGTGGGAACCCTGGGGAGGCGAGGTGGGTCAGGGCCTGTTGGTGCTCCTGGGGCCTTGTCCCTGGGAAGGAGCGACCCCTGTGCTGGTACAGGCTGGGACCAGCTGCCGGGAGCGGCTCTGAGGGAACAGCTCCGGGGTCCGGGTGGGCAGTGAGGGGGGCATGGGCCATCAGCAAGTCCTGGCAGCAACAACAGCCAATGGCGGCCCTGGCTATAAGAACAGCGGCAGAGCCAGAGGGTGAGGGGAGTAATTATCCTCCTCCACTCAGTGCTTGTTAGACCACATCTAGATACTGCATCCAGGTTTGGGCTCCCCAGTACAAGACATCAATAAACTGGATCAAATTGAAGGGAGGCCTCTGAGATGGTGGAAATGGAGCACTGGACCTGTGAGGAAAGGCTGGGGAGCTTCGCAGAGGGGATGGACCTTACAGAAGCCCCCAGTGCCCCTGGGGAGACCACGGAGGAGATGGTGCAGGGCAGAAGGATGAGAGATGGCAGAAGCTGAAAGAAGAGAGGCTTGACTGGTAACATGTTTCCGCCATGAGTACAGTCAGACAGAGGCACAGGTTGCCCAGAGGCTGTCCATTCTCCATCCTAGAGATTTTCAAGCCCCAGTTGGATGAAGCCTTGAGCAGCCTGGTCTGACCTCAGAGCCAACCTGCTGTGAGCATGAGGTTGGAGCAGAGACCTCCTGAGGTCCCTCCCAGCTTGAGCTCCCCTGTGATGAAACCACAATTTCTGTCCCTTCTTTCAAATGTCATTGAGATGTTAGAAAGGTCAAAGGTCATCTGGGGACATGAGTGACCTAATGGGTGGACAGAGTTCTAGATAAAAACACCACCTTAGCTCATAAACCATGTTTCCTTCTGAAACCAGGCCGAGGGACTGCGTCAGTGAACTCAGGTACCACATATACTGGCTGTAGTAATTAACGTTGAAAGAGTGGTGAGTCTCGCACCCCATCACACTGCACATAGACAGCCAGGCTCCACTCAGGCCTAGTTCCAGCTGAAGTGATTTTCACGTGGAGCTCATCACCTTGTAAAACTACTCATCAAACACTACCCTTGGCCCCTACATTGAGTATTGGCTCCTCAAGGCAAGTTGTATGTATATGACTTGCTAAGGGATTAACCCGTCTACTGTAAAGATTCTACCGCTGATGGAAAACTATTTGTGTAGTAGAGACTTGTCAGCTGGTCGGAAAGGAGAAGGCAGCCGTGTGCACTCTCTGCACAAGGCAGGCCTGAGCCGTGCAGCCAGCGTGACCGATACCTACAGCTGCGTGATGGACCCAGATTGGGTGCCTCCCTTTAAATCTATGGCATTGTTTGCCGTCAGCACCCTGGCAACAATACCAAGACGCTGCATTTTTTTTTTTTTTCCAAATAAACTGTCTATGGCACTCACAGTAAGTGAAAAACTCAGTACAAATACATTTTTTCATCTGAATGCAGAGTTTATTTCAGAGAAATAATTTTAAATATGAAAATCCTATAAATTATGAACATTTATAGAATATACTTCTGCCAAAGAAAAAGCTTGGAAGAGTGAAGGTGTCAAAATCTGGCTCTGCTAAACTGAATGGAGCTGATCACTATTCAAAGGGTATTTCTCCCTGTTTTCACACAATTGACTGTTTCAGAGAATACCGTTATTCAGCATAAATACTAGTTTACAGATCCTTAGTAGGCTGCAGTCTTCCACAACTGATTTATGACCAAAAGCAGCTTTTACTTGCTTACATTAAATCAAGCCACTGGACTAAAAAAAAAAAAAAAAAAAAGTGAGAACTTAATCCAACTTCTGTTGAACAGGTAGAAAATAGTTACAAATAACAATGTTCTAAACCATCCACTTTAGTCAAGAAAAATTATATTACTATTTACTTCCTTTGTAAACATTTACTTTATTATTCTATACCTTATGTAGGCTGGTATTCCCAATTTTTGGATTAACATATTTTGCAGAAATGTACAGCAGCAGAAATTCCTCGCTGATACTCAGCTGGTTTTACTGTCTTACTTTACGGAGTCCTGTATGTATAAAATAGAGCCATTTACAGAAAAACATCATGTCTCCTTAGAATACCACATTTTACAAGATTGCAATTATATGGTAGTCATTTCCTTCCACCATAGGCTTATATCCTTCCAAACCAGGCATGTCATAGAGACCAATTCTGACTATAAATAGAGTTTATATTAGTCCTTCTATGTACAACAAAAGACAAATTACCCCAGTATAAAGTAATAATACTTATATATTGATACAGATTTGAACTACAAACCCACTTCTTTAACGAAGTTTACAGTATAAAAAAATAAGGATACCAGTTACCTTCTATATTTTCATCATTTAGTTTCTTGTGGATTAGTCAGTGATACAAGCATTGCTTGTTTTGTGTAAAATATATTATTTTAAAATACCGGTATACATCCTTCCAGTTACAAAAATATAATTATGTCCTACAGGAATATCACTGAATTAAAAAGTGTATCAAAAATATGGATCATCATTTTAGACCATATGTGAATTTAGAAATAAAGTAGAAGTAAATGCAATTAGTTAAAAATACTATCTTCTGGCTCAGTGAGCCACTTCTGATTTTGCATAAAGAAAGAGATTGAAGTGTAGTTAGAAAAATGGCCAGGGACAAGTTTTGGCTACTGAGTAATAATACTACATTATTGGTGTGGCTGACTGGAAAATGTTCACAGCCGTTCAGTTCAAAGGA